AGGTGTATGTTAGGTGGTATTTACACACAAACACCATATAAGTGTTGTTTGATAAAAGAATCACCCTGTATAGAAAAACATGTAAAGGTATTAGGTATATAAAATATGACTATAAAATACTTTTGAAAAACAATTCTGAAACAATCATTTAATAAAAATCATGATATGAAAAGATGTTATCACCGTCAACATGTTTTAAATAGATTTGTTTCATTTACATTTTTTATGTACCTAGTTACAAGCTACCTTACCTATTCTATTTTGAAAAAAAAAATTGAACATGAATGCATTCGTAAATAATATTGTAGGAATTAAATGCTAACGAATAGTGAATAGAGATTAATTCTTTTTTTTTACAACAAAGAATGTATCTCTCAGCTCTGCATAGTCAGCATAGATTTTCTTTTAAAATAAAATAATATTATGTTCTAAACATTKACTAAATTTTCTCCCATGACCTCTTTTGTTTATTTTGTATAAACGTTATATAATTTTCATTTCATATTTTTATTATTTATATACATATTATTGTGTATAAACTACTTACTTATATATTTATCTTTAAAACCGATTTCAAATATAATATTAATCGAAAACTGATATTAAAAATTGAAATAAAATATAAGGAGTAAATAATATTTAATAAGTTGTGTATATTCATGACTAATGATAAATAATATTATATTAGTCTATTATAATATATACCTAGTGTAGTAATAATTCGGGTTCAATATTCAATATTATACATTAGGCATTAATTATTAATTTATAGTATTTATACATTTATCACGCTTATCAACTAATTAATAGATACTGCTATATTAGATACCATACCAATTATTGACAGTTTCGAGTTACCAGTAAATAACCATGGTTTATTGTTAATATATGAGTAATATTCTGTTTATAGATATATTAAAGATAATAGATATAAGGACATGTGGTCTGATATGRATATGTTTCTATTAGAAACTTAGAAGCAATAGAAACTTTCTAACGTTATCTGTAAGTGTATTCCTTTATCCTTAGATAGTTAGATCTAAGGTGTATCCTTTATACTAAGCCCGCAGACTAAGCCCAAACATGAATTTGAAACTATAGTTTATAACATCTAAGTTATAACTTATAAACATTGGTGACTTTGAAGCAATAATATACTCCTTCGTAAACGTTTTACAATTTACAAATATTATAGACACCTTATAGGTAGTTAAGTACTTATCTATTTCCTATTATTTTATTATCCCCTATCAAGTACCTATCTATTTTGGGGCTAAATATGTATGAATTTTAGGTTAACGTTCGGTATTTTCTTTCCATATTGTATATTAATATATTATATTATACATTTACTGAAGTGAATTTTTTTTATTAAAATCTAAAAGCAATAGAATATTTAATACACGATTAACCGTAATATGGCTATATACCTTAAACGTTATTATGTACGTAATAATTTTAGCATTTTTCCGAAAAACTSTATTAAGTCGACGGAGCACTTAACTATAAAATTGGCAAAAGATCCACCACTCTAAGACTAAAACCACTGCTACCATAAAATATTTTATTTGAAGGCTGAAGCTCAAGATCAAGGACTATCCAGATTCATAATCAAACTAAAATGTTTTTGTAAACCTTAAATTAACATTGTAAAAATACTTGGTGTATTCAAACAATTAAGTTAGTAAATAAAAAAAACGTTAAACCTATTGTCATATTTTTAAAGGAAATGTTATTTTAAACTATAATTATAACTAAAAAAATACCTGCATCAGGACTCCAGGTTAGGTCTAGTAAGGTTGGGTTTCTAATGACTTGCCTAACTCGAAAAAACAATGATACCTGCAGCCTACCAATATAATATATAGTATTCAATCATTCATTAAATTCATTCTTTAGTAGCATTATTAATATTGTATTAATAAGAAACTTAAAATGTTTGAATAGTCTTAATTCTTAGAAGTACTATAATATAGTAAATCGGGCATGACCAGTTACCTCCCAAAGTAGCTTTTTTTATACCAATCCCCCCCCCTCAAAAAAAAAAAAAAATTACCAAGATCAAAATGTACCAATTACCCTCATATTTCAATATATACAYGATTAAAATAAATAACCCGTAAAATAATGGAGGTAAATATAGAAATAGTAAATTATTTATAAAATAAAGTAAAATAGTGGGAAATTATAGAAACAAATATTGATATTATATTTTGTAATAAACAATAATCATAAAAATGTTATAAAAATAATATGGATAAAATGAAAATTATAGTAAGAGGACGTTATACGCCTATACCCGAATGTGTTGTCTCCGTCTTCAAATGTAGAATTCTACAAAAATGTAAAACACTGTGAAAACTGTTTTGCGCGGGAAAAAACCGCACTCAAGCTGTAATCCAAGCTAGGCAACCAAATTTTCACACTCTAAAGAGGAGAATATTTACAGTGCAACGTTGTTTTTATTTTTTCGATATTATAAGAACTAAAAAAAGTTATTCAAGTTTGAAAAACTCCAACATATTGAATTCTTAAACAATAAGAACTTTTTCGTATTTTTGACGTCAAAAAATTAAAAATAACGTTGCATAGTAAATATTCTCCTCTTTATAGTGTAAACATTTGGTTGCTTAGCTTGGATTACAGCTTGAGTGGTTCTTTGTCGTGAAAAACAATTTTCGCAATGTCTTACATTT